AAGCTCTCCTCTTAGTGTATGGCTGAATCCTCTCCCATAATCAGTATAAATAGAATGGGATCTGACTTCAGTGCAGGATTTAAGCCAGTTTGGTTATTTGCTTTGGGGCAGGGGGGGGATGAAATCAGCATTTGGGCTTTCAGGGGTTTTTAAGCCTAGCAACATGCTTTGTTCCCCAGGGGCTGCTCTACGCGGGCTGGTTGAAGGTCTATGTGATTGCATCAGACCGGTCTCAGGTACCCTCTCCTGAGCAGCTCGGTCATGGTAAGCAAGGCAGAGAACTTGCATTGGCCACATCAATGAGTACATTCAATCCCACGTTAAAATCCCAAAGGAGCATCAATTACCAAGTTCAGTATAGTTTATATTTAAAAGTAGATTGCAAAGCCATGGTCTGATGCCCTCTACTCAAAGGAATCCATTTTCATTGATGAACTTGTCCTTGAATCCAAATGAGTCCTGATTTCATTTTTTGGTAAATCACCCCACCCCCACCTCATCTTATCTGGGAGGAGAGAATCTTCATTTGACATCAGCCCAAGAATGTGCAAGAGGGGATTTCACAGAATGGTTCATGCAAATTCTTCGTGTTCCTTAAATGGAATTGATTGCAATGGGAGGCTTCTTGTAGAGCCTTGTCAGCACTCTGGTTAAAAATAAGATTCATTTGAGGTATGTCTCATCCTTCATGTCCCAGGCCCAACTGGGAAAATTCAACTGTGTCATTCAGTGACTTCATAAGTAACCCGGGAAGCAAAACCTATTACCTTTCAATTTGTGCTCTTGAAATATAAAGGTCATTATTTAAATGAGTGGTGGAGATGGTTGGGAGAGTCCCGTGCACTCTCTGCTCCCAAGGGAGGGATTTTTTTAAGGACCCCATGAAGTCATGAAACCCTTGTGTCCTTCCTCCCGTAGAGAGAGGAGTTCAGCCAAGGGATTTCACAAGTGAATGGACTCTGGGTCCCACCTACCGCCAGCACCTAGCCGAGCGGCAGACACATAGCAGCACCACGGAACAGTGGGCAGAGTGGAGGTCTCAGGAGGCAATTTTGTACCATTTCTAGCACGTATTCTAGTAAGGACATTTTATCGTGCCTTTCCTGACTCCAACTGGTGGTGGCTTGCGTTTTTCACTCTCCTTTTGTGTAATGAACCTTCCTCAACTACTTGTGTCTTTGTCCTCCCAAGGGATAGAACTCCAATGGAAAAACTGCATAATCAGTGGTGTACTGACCTATAAATATATAATGCCGTTTCAAGGTGATGTGTGGCTTTTGAAAGAGCCACCTAGCATGAGAGGTGGACTGGTGGACTGTCTTCTAATTATCATTTTATCCAAAACAGACTTCTCTCTGCTTTTGATCACACTCAATTCTGAGGATGGCACGGGACTGGGTAGAGGTTTGTTCTGTTGTGTGTAGGGTCACACTGAGTCAGAACCGACTTGATGGCACCTAACCACATGGGCTGTCCAGTGAAAGACAGAATATGGAGCTCCCTAAATCCTGTAGAGGGTGAGTTTCCACCTTAAGATAAAATCCAGATTACATGTAAGACTCAAAAGAACCCATCCAACTTGTCGGATGACTTTGGCCTGTATTATGCTGCACATGTGACTTGGCGAACTGCATGAAGAGCTGACAGCCTTTCTAACGTCATCAGTGTTGAAACTGAACATGGGTCACTTATATTTAAACAAAATGAATGTGTAATTCAATTCTGGAGAACCACGGCCAGCGCAGTGCCCCGATCTACGAACAGAGGAGGCCTTGGGTGACACCTAAAATCGGGCCCCCTAATTCTGCAGCCAGTCACACTTGAGGGCAGTAATCGCCCTGATCACAGACACCCAGGTCTTGGAAACAGAAGGACAAGGGAGTCATTTCTACTTGGCATCTTGAGGGGCACAGATGATTTTTTTAAGTGGTAGGCTCTGAAGTAAACAGTTTAAAAACTCATTTCGCCTGATGGAGGATGAGCGGGGCTGCACAACTGGAATATAGTTGTTGTCACTGAATGATATGAGTCTATAGAGAAATGGGGGCTTTGGATGGGTCCGCTCCACTTGAACTCCCTGCTGAGAGTCTGTCTTTCCACCTGAGGAAATCGCCTGGCAGTCCACCTCTGGCTAGCCAAAGGGGAAGGAACATCCAACTCCATAAAGTGCCCAAGGATGAGTCCTATGGCAGAGGTCAGACATGCCCCCACCCTCCATCCTCCTTTATTCTGACAACTGTCCCTCCCCTGGCACTCTGCTTCTCTGCTGGGTTCAGTAATCCACTGCAGTCTCTACACAGAACTTGCAGGCAATATTCATGATTATGGAGCGTGGGGTAGTTATATAATTGTTTGTTGATTTCAGAGGATTCCGAGTGAAGGGGTGGAGTCTAGCCTGTCAATCAAATCAAATCTGTGTGGGCATGGCCTTCGCCTGAAGATTCCTCCTTCGAGGAGGGAGACACACTCTCTCTCTGCTCACTTCCTGGGAGACATTGCAGTTGACAAGCCACATGGAGACAGGCTGATGACAGCCAGAGCCTTGAAGCTGGAAAATCCATATGCGGACCCTTGCCAGCGCTAAGATGCTCACACCACCAATGGATCCATAAGACTTTCCACCCACTGGCCTGTGAGCGTCCTGCATTCAGCATCATTGCATGTGTTTCATGAGTCTGAAGAGGAATTGATAGATTGGTATCAAACATAAGGGCTAATACCAGAATTATGGACTTGATCTGGACTGCGCTGGGATGTTTGCTCAATATTCAATTGCTCTTGAATATAAAGCTCTTTCCTGTATACACATATGTGTGTCTGTGAATTTGTTTCTCTTGTCTACCTGGATCAACACAGAGCTTATTAGGGAAACTAACCGGGTATAACATGTTAAAGATAGTTTTGCTGGCCTCGGCACCTCTTCTCGGCCATGCTGGTAGCTATGTCTCTCTGTGGCCCTCAGCCTCTCAGCCACATAGTCCTTTGGCCTCTGCCCTGCTTAGGTGGATGTTAGAAAGCTTCTTTACCAAAAAACAAAACAAAACAAAAACCCAACTCACTGTCATCAAGTGGATGCCGACTCTTAGTGACGTCATAGGACAGGGTGAGAACAGCCCCTCCTGGGTCACTGGGACCGTAAATGTTAACGCGAGTAGAAAGCGCTGTCTTCCTCCCTTGGAACAACGGATGGTTTCCCACTGCTGACCTTTCAGACTGCAGCCCACCCTTAGCACTGATACATGTCCAAAGGTTGCCACGCTCTGCAAGGCAGCCTCGTGCCCAGAAGCAGAAGCGCTCAGCCTTACTTGGTTATGTGGGCCGGGAATCTCCCTGCTCTGTCTCATGGTCTTGGTGCCTCTGCTGAGGCTGCCACTTCACACAGGAATCTCACGCGTGCTTTATCAGTGGCTCTTCTTGCTTGACGGCCCTGTGGTTGTCTGCCTCTCAAAGGGCTCACTTTATAGCCAGCACAATGGCAGAATTGAAAAGTGCTCAAGTTAAAGCCCCCTCTACCATATTTGCATGCAGTCACTGGGTGGAAGTGATAAAGACTGTGGATAGAAGAGTCATACCAAGTAATTTCACTTCACTGCATCACGCCAGATATACGGGATCAGAATGTAGATCTAACACGCACAGAGGCTGATAGAATCACCCCAATATCAGCCATTTCTGGCATGATTTTGAGGCAATTCTTCTTCCTGTGGAGAATTTGCATTTCCATCCCAGATATACTGAGTCAGATTCTACATTGAACAAGATTCCCTGGTGATTCTATGAAAGTTCTTGTTAAACATAGACTCTCAGTCAGCATACCTGAGATGGAAATGGAGTTCTCAGTGAATCAGGGTCTACGTTGCTGTGCTTTTCAACAGCAGTGAAAAAAGAGTAATAGTCATGTCGCTTGAGTAATGGTACTGGGGACTCTACAAATGTAGTGATACACTTGCCTTCCAAATAATGCAGTATTAATCACCACCACCACCTCCTTTTGTTTAAATCTTCATATTTGGAAGTTACCTAGGCATTTCAGAAGATCATAAGCCCCTAGAAAACCATGAGTGATTACTTTTGTTGGTGCTAGTGCTGCTTATTGATTACCTTTACATCAGTCCTCCCTCCTTCCTTCCTAGCAGGAGGCGTGGCTCCTCTTCCTTTAGACAGCTAAGGTATGACATGCCTCTCTCTCGGGTCCTGATCTCTAGGCTCTGTTGTATACTGCCTGATAATGACCTCTATAACATCTGGCAGAGGGAACTTTGTGAGCCCCTATGGGAGTAAACTGTACTCACAATAATAGGCATCCCTGTAGGTGGAGGAACAGCAACCCGATATCCAATTCCTCAGGCAACGCCTAACTTAACACGCAATGATCAGTCAACCATGCTTTCGCCCATGGCTCCTGTGATGGTTAGGTTGCATGTCAACATGGTGCATCTGTGGGGGGTATGGATGGAATCCAACTTCTCAATCAGGATACAGCCAATTGATGCCCCGTTGGGGATGGGGCTTATTCATAAAAGACACTGGGAAGGCGTCGCCTCTCTCTCTTGTCCTTCGCCTTCCTGCTGGCTTGGATTCGGTGTCTGACTTCTGGCGCCAGTGGCCTGCTGACCCTGGGAGCTGTTGGTGGCCTGCCATGTTCCTGCCACCCTTGGATCCACATGACTCTGCACCTACCAGCCTGTGATTGCCCAGCTTCCCACGTTGCCTTCCTGCTTCTTCACCTGGTAATGCCATGGGTCTGGAGGTGCCTCTGGCTAAAATCTGGCCCAAGGGCTTGAGTTAGACTGGGCTGGGCCATTTTCTTAATGGAAATTTCTTTCTTGATATAAAGCTATTTCTGATATATATGAGGGTTACTGGTTTTTGTTTCTCTAGAAAATCCAGCTAAACACAGCACCCAATTTCAAATGAGAAACCCCCACTTCAGCAATAAAAATTGCCTCTCTTTGGGAAAAGGGAACGCTCTGAAGATGTGCAAATTAATTTAGTCTGAATTCACATTTTTCATTTACTCAAATGTTTATTTGAACTCATAAAAAGTGTACTGACACAATTTAAAAGGTGAAGAACTAAAATACCTTCCAAATAGTGACCAAAACATTGTGGGAAGTAGCGTATAGAACTTCGCCTTTCCATACCCCTCTCCATAAAATCATCTCTCTCCTCAAAACCACATGAATTCCTGTGCAAGGTGCCAAAAATGAAGATAAATTAAGAAATGCAAACAACTAGAAGGAAGAGATATAAACGTACAAAGAGAACAATTCTTCTAGAGTTTCATGCATTCAAGAGATTCATAATCTTCATACAAATATATAAAATTTTTCGTGAGCTATATTCATTTTAATCCATTCTCGTTCGCTTCAATTCTTCACATCAAGCCTGCAAAAGAAACACCGAAAGAGCCATTAATTTTATTTTCATGAGAAATTTTTAGGAACAGCTTATAAGTTGGTATTACAGGAACAAGTCACAAAGGCCCCTTTTTCCTTTGAATTGTCATCTCAATTTCATCAGTGTGTCCTAGGAGTAGCAGGTGTGACTATCAATTTTGCCTCTGGTGATTTAAGTGATTGCAACCTACATGAGGATGGCTTCTTTCTGAAGGGTTGGAGTGTAGCACTAGTTTTATGGTGATGATTTTCAAGACCCTTGGTGCCTGTGATAAATATGGGGGGAGCTTCAAAAAATTCATGGAAAATTCCATGACCTTTTCATTCCATTTTTCCATGACCCTTTCAGATGCATCACTATCCTTGCTGTTGGTTGCCTAGTCAACGACAACTCATGCTGACCTTACATGTCATCAAAGTAGTTGGATGTTTTAAAAAAGAGATGATCACCTTTTGATTCATGCTAGTCTCCAAACTGGATCAAGACCCCATCTCCTTCCAAGTCCAGGATTACCAGGTGAGTGTGTTATGAATAGAATTGTGTTGAAATCCTATCCCCTGCACTGGTGAATGTGATTTGTCTGGAGAAATTGGATGTATAGGTTTCATTGGGAGGTTTGCACATATTATCTATTTGAAAATTTTTAAAAAGGAGCCCTGCTGGTTACGCGTTGGGCTGCTAGCTGCAAGGTCTACAGGTCGAAACCACCAGCAGCTCTGAGAGAGAAAACCAGGACTGTACAGAGATACCATCTCGGAAATTCACAAGGGCAGGGCTGCCCTGTCCTCCGTGATCACTATGAGTCAGCCTTGACTCCATCGCAGTGAGTTAGTGCGTTATCCGTTAAACAGGTCATATCAGAGAGCAGAGGGGATCCTAATCTTAGACCCTTTTGAATCAAGCCTTGTAAGAAGAGAAGGGTACACCTGATAGGAGTTAACACAAAAGGAGAAGGCAACATGGAAGGTTCCATCGACAAGCAGGAAAGGGGCACCAAAAAGTGCTAGCAGTCACTAGCAAAAAGAGAGAGGCAGGGAACACTTCCTCCCTCCGGGCCCTCAACATGGCCAAGATTCTGAATTTGGATTTCCAGTCTCTGGAACCGTGAACAAAAATACATTTCTGTTCCTTGAAGTTACCCACTTTGTGACCAGCCTAGAAGGCTACGTCCAGGCCAGTCTGCTCATTCTAGGAGAAGCAGGAGAACGAAATGCGTGGAGCAAAGCCACCTCAGCGAAAGTGCCCACCCGAGCCCAGGCCACAGCAGATCCCCAAGCTGAACTCCAGATGCCTAGGTGAGCCCAGCCCAGCCCACCTTAGATCAGCTAAGGGACAGACACATGAGCTGTAATCATGAATGTGCTTGAAGTCATTGAATTCTGAGAGTCATTTGTTCGGCAATAATTGCTTGTTGATATGGTGCCATTTATTTGAAAGGCTCTAGTAAAGTGGAGGCGGGTGGATTTCGAACATTATTGACACGTGTTTTGCATTCTTTGGTGTCATTCTTGATGTGTTTTCCTTAGGGGAAGGGACTGATTCTTCTCTAAGAACTGGAATGCTCACATTTGTTAAAATTACCCATGGTTACAAAAAAAGAAAACTTCCCAGACAAGGACCCTGCTCTGTTTTGCAGATACTATGGGTGGCTCTTCCTACATCCACTCTCTACCACTTACCCCCATCTCTGACCACACTCTCCCATGCGACCTGCACTCCAAAATCGCTGGACCACTTCCCGCTTCTGTCACATGGCAAGATCCTTCATGCTTAGCACCTTTGATGGGAGCCCACCCCTATGGCTCCCCGCTTACCACGCTGCACTGTTATTACTTGTCTGGATTTCCTCTCGCTCCTTTCACACCTTTCCCACCATAGCTAGCCTGCCACTGGACTGGGCACAAAAAGGCCCTACACAACTTAACATCCCAATGCCTGTCACAAGACCTGCTGCATAGCAGGGGCCCAGGGATAGATTGATCAGGTGAGAACAGGAAAGGAACCAGAGCTAGAGTTGCAGCCAAACCTGCGGGCTTCCATGGGAAGCTGCGGGCAGGAGAAGGGCACAAATAGTTGGCCCTCAGCCCCGCCTGGGGCCCAGCATAGCCTAGGTGTGCTCTGGCCATTAATCTTGCTCAGTCACCGTGAGGGGTGTCAGTGCCTCAAACTAAGGCAGAGGCCCCCTAACAAGCTGCCTTTGAAGGTGAGACATTCCTTGGGCTTGTCTGAGCAGCATGGAAGGGGTGAGGATCCACAGCAAATTGTCACTGAAGCACATTCCAGGAGCTATGACAGAAGCACCCAGGCTGTAGAACACACAGTCAAAGAACGTGTATAGGGCCACTTGGGTATGGAATTTGTCCACCAAATCCTTGTCACAGACACACCTACCGAGAGAACAGAGGAGCCGTGTGCAATGACCCACACCAGCCCTTGACAACTGGGTCTACCCATCAGCCTCTGCCAACAGGGAAACCTTGATGCAGTTTTCCCAGTCCACCGTGGCCACGGAAAGGGGACCTGGCTATGGAGAAGAATCAACGTCTGAAGTCTTTACACAGCACCAGCCCCCAAGCCTGGGCTCGGTGTGCCCAGGGACTCAGGGAGCAGGGACAGTGCTGGTTGAAAAGAGGTGTGGGCCAGTGCCACCAACTTGCGCTTCTGGCCCATGAGGGTGGAGAAGTAGCTGAGGGTGATGGTGCCAGTTTTGAGAGCCTCACCACTGACTACGCACAGTTACCCCATGCCATTGAAAGAGTGTCTCGGGTTCTTCCTTGTAGAAGGAGCCAGCATATGGGCCGAGGCCCCACCACGGTGGCTCCTACAGATCATACCTCTCCCCTCGCCTCCTCCTGGGATCCGAGAGAGGCCAGGAGGTGACAGCAGCTCTGAACTAGGGCTCTGAGGGTGGCTAAGGTCAGATCTGATCCACAGAGTGGCCCCTGTGAAGTTGGGGTGTATGTATAGGCATGTCTGTGGGATCCTGGAAAGCGTGAATTCAGGGCCCAGAGATCTGGTTGTGCCGCTCCAAGTCTGGGCTTGGGCTTATAAATAGGAAGCAGTGGGAAGGGATCCAGGGCTATAATTGCCCATGCTGTAAAGCACACTTGTTTGTCGGGTTGTTGGAATGCAAGTGTGCTGGGTGAGATCCCAGACCACGCTGCTCTGCTGCCGAGATAAGAACTCTTCTCTGTTCTCCTGTGTCCTGTTCTCCGTGGGGGCCATTTGTGGGAGCCACGTGGACTGTAGGATATTCCACCACCGAGAAGTCACTCTCCAGCTACCCCACACACCTTTTGTCCCCAACGTGAAAAAAGACACAAGAGCCCCATTTGGAGCTACTTGGGGGAAAGGCTTGCTTTGACTGGTGCAGGGATAAGACATCCAATAGCTCCCTTGTGTGGTCCTCTGTCCGGGCCGTGGAGCATGTGATGTTTACACCATGCCGTAACCCATTTATAGCTGTCTTACTCAGAGTTGCCACAGCCCCACACACATCATTTAGGAAAGGAGTCCACTCAGCACTTGTCTGCATTTGGTCCTGTAAGCAGAGATTGCATGGGGGAGGGGGGGGGCAGCCCAATGATGACTTCCTCCTATGCGGTGCTCAGCCATAGAGCTATAAACACAGTGGCGGTCAAAAGGAGCCGAGACCAAGGCCACACTTTATTCCCCAGTTCCATACGCAATGGCCAACCACAAGCACTCGTTGCTTCTGAGTTTGGATCTGAGCATATCCTCAAGGTCTTGTTTGGGAGCTACCAGTTCCAAAAGCTGATAGAACAAAGTTTAGAATGAGAAAGTGACATAGAGGGAAAGAGAGAGAGAAGAGAAGAGAGAAACTTCCCCAGGTTAAATGAGCTGAGAAACACCAGGGTAAAGAAACAAATAACATTGTTTGAGAGCTCGTCAGAGCTTGAAGCATAAAAGCATATACTGTGTATGTTGACTGTGGGGATGATTATTGTGTATCATTTTCAAAGGACATTTCATTACTGAACTGTTTTTGCCCTAGCTTTCTGTTTGTGGGATTTTTTTTTAATGAATCATTCATTAGATTCTGTGGTAGTCACCTAATCTGGTGTCAATTTAAGGATTAAGAGTGTAGGGGTAGAGTCTCTAACTGTCAATCTGGAGATAGCCAATGAGACTTCTGTGGGCATGGCCGTCTCCTGAGAATTCTGGGAAATCTGGTACTTCCTCCTCGGAGGCGGGCGACCACTCTCTCTCTGCAACTCCCTAGGAAACATTGCAGAAGACAAGCCACCGGAGAAGCCACAGAGAGACCCCTGCCAGCGCTGAGATATTTCCAATGACACTGGATCCACTGGCCTGTGATCTTCTGCACTCGGCGTCATTGCATGTGTTTCATGAGTCTGAAGAGGACGTTATAGATTGATACCGGAAATATGGGTTAATATCGGACTTATGGACTTCATCTGGACTGGACTGGAATGTTTTCCCAATGTTCAATTGCTCTTGTATATAAACCTCTCCCTTATATACATATGTGTCCATGGATTTGTTTCTCTAGTCTATCCGGTCTGACACAGATTCCAAATAGAAACAATGGTGGCCAGACTTCATCTCACGTACCTGGCTGGCACAGTACTAGGACCCGTCCCTGGGGAAGGATATCGTGCTTGGCAAAGTAGGCGGTCCAAGAGGAAGAGAGAAAGACCCTCAACAAGATGGAACAAGAGCTCAGGGGCTCAGACCTTGTGAGGATGGGGCAAGGCTGGGCAGTGTCTCGCTTTGCTGTACACACATAGCATCACAATGAGATGGAATTGACTGCATGGTGCTTATCAACAAATCCTATGATTGGGCATTTCCGTGCTGACTCCATTGTATTGTTATTAATGGATAAGACTTTTTTTTCACATTAACATGTTCTTTAGGGTAGACTTACACCAAGGCAGGACTGGGTGAGGAGACAGGCAAATCCATGAGGGCTAGGCCTGTTTCCCTTTCTTAACATCTAGGCA